GTCAGCTGAAAGCAGTCAGCCTTTAATACCTCAGGCAGCTGGGGGAATGAGTACCTAGATTCTGAGGGGGCATATGGATGGCTCACCACAGTATCCACTACACTTTCAAAAACCAAATGGATAAAATCTAATCTTCTTAGCATGGCACACAACGGTCTTCATCAGCCCCAGCCTCATCTCATGTTGTCTTCTCATCCTGGAGGTCTCTCCTGCCTTCTGCTCTGGCCCCACTTTTTCTGTTGGCAAACTTATACTAGTCCTTTAAATTCCAGTTGAATGCACCTCCTGTGAGAAGCCTCCCTTGATTACTCTTGCAGACTCAATGATCCTTCCTCCCTGTGTGGTGGTTAGGAGGATGGACTCTGGAGCCAGGGTTTGAATCTCAGCTCTGCCACTTGCTAGCTGTGTAAATAATGCAATTACTTAACCTCTCTGTATTTTAGTTTCCTTGTCTATAAAATGGGGGATAACAACAGTACTTTTACCTCATAGGGTTGTTATGAGTATTAAAGGAGTTAATATGTGTAAAGTTAGAACAATGTCTGGCAGAAGTAAATGGCCACTGTTGTTATTGAAGGTGCTCAGTATGCATTTGTTGAAGGCACTAAGAATGGAAGGAAGGAGGGAACGGAGAGAGACAGAGTGCAGAGTGTGTTCAGGGAATGTTGAGTAATCCCATCTGTCAGAAGGGGAGTAATAGCCTTATGGGCCCATGTTGGGAAGTTTCTAATGTCACAGTAAAGAGTGTACATCTTAGGCCGGCCCGTGGCTCACTCGGTAGAGTGCGGTGCTGATAACACCAAGGCCACGGGTTCGGATCCTATATAGGGATGGCCGGTTTGCTCACTAGCTGAGCGTGGTGCTGACAACACCAAGCCAAGGGTTGAGATCCCCTTACCGGTCATCTTAAAAAAAAAAAAAAAAGAGTGTACATCTTATTTGGTAAACAGTAAAAAACAATGACAGTTTGTCAACAGATGGGAGAAAGGGCCAAAGAAAGAGAGGGACAGTTTGAACCAGAAGATAAGGCATATATGTGGTGAGGTTGGAATTACAGGTGAGGTTGGTGGGTACAAGTGTGGGATGGTGCTAGTAGAGGGGGGCAGTGGGGACGTATTGGAGGATGGGCACAGATGAGGGGAAACAGGTTTAGAGGAAAGTAATATGGAACATATGGAGGATTGAGTGGGAGAGTCAGGTGAAGCTGTTGGGGCCTGGTGAAGAGTGATAGGAACATGCCGGGGGTGGGGAAGATAAAAGGGGACGGAGACAGGTGAGGTTTATGGGGACAGGTAAGGAGTGACGGGGCCCTGCTGGGTGAAGTGAATGGCAGACATCGGTAAGTAGAACCTGAGAGCCGGAGCGGGCCCATCCGAGAGACTCCTAGTGCTGGAGGAGGGTGGATGGGGCAGGGTAGAACGTGACGTCAGAGAAAGGGCGGTGATGTAAGAGCGGGGCGGTGGGGCGGTGATGTCAGGGCTGGTGCTGATGCTGGCGGCGCAGTGCATTGTGGGCAGCTCCCCGCTCTGCCGCCGCCGCCGCCGCCGCCGCCGTCCGTGGA